ATAGTGGCAACACCCTGGCCTTCGGCAATAAGAAACGGAACTCCACGAGGACAACCCAACGCCTTCCTCACCACCACGGAAAAAGCGACGGCACAACACCCGGCCGTCCAGCTCTTCAGAGGAAACTCTGTTAAAAAGGAAGAGCCGTCCACGGGTCGTATCGGTGATAACGATACCTCCAGCCGAGCAGGTGATCATCCGACCCAACAAGGATTCTAAACGTCCTCCGCAGCCGGAGGAACCGCTTATCCAGGAAGATCTAATAGATCCGACCACGCCGCCACGGGCAATAACTCCGGACTACCAGCCCGCGGAAGTACCTCCGCTAATCCAGGACGAGCCACCCGTTTCGCCAACTCCAGCGGCGATTCCTCCAGCCGGTACTGCACACCACGAGACTGCCGTAACGTGGGAATTAGAACGCCTATCACTTCAGCCGCCACGTTTCAGTCGACCGCGGCACCCACCTCTCGAACCGCGGGATCCAAGGAGTTCACGCCCTATCTCGCCGCGTCACAGTGTGACCACCGCAGACAAGTGGACCCAGACCAGCACCTACGCTACAGCACGGAGGGAGAAGCAGCGGGTTAAGAAAAGGCAGCGAGCTCCACTCACAGAAACCAAACAGCTCTTGTAAGAGCTCACAACCGGCCCTTTTCAGGGCCCCACTCTATCAAACGAGAAACATCTCCTCGTACTCTCGCAGTAGAAATAGCGTAGCTTACAGCCAAATTAGCTACAAGCAATAAGTAAAGAAATATTGAAAATTTTATAGTCATTGCATACTTTGAGATTCTTTGAACAAAGGCATTGAATGGAGACTGTCTCCAAATTATATAATTGACATATGACTGACATGTCCCCAACTTAAACATTTTATACCAATATTCTTTATGTCCCCGAAATAAACATTTACTACCACTTCTCCTGAAATATATTTTATACAGTTTCCGCACTAATATCTTTTCTTGAATATATTTCAAATTTACATTTTTAGAAATTAAAGTAATAATTATGAATATTTCTCTCGGTCCTATTTAGATATAAATCAAATTGAAATGTAAACGCCCATTGAATTTAGGACCTAGGCAAGGTGGTGGCCATTAAATAGCTTAGTGAATCCATATACCGTATTTTTTCCTACTCTGTACTGTGCGCCGTTAATATCGGACATATAACACAGATTTTCCCCTCGGTGGGATCATTCTCGTCAGTGAAGTAATAATTGCTAGAAAGAATTAATATTTCATGTTTGTTAATACTTATAACAATTTTGCTAATGCAGATATTAATAATGCATATATTTTGTTATTTGAGTCATAACATAACTGCGATCTGAATAGCATATGAGCCCTCATCTGTGTCCACATTTGTCGTCATGTTTGTGAGATACATATATGAGGACAATATGAACTCAGAATGCATATACTTTGCTGTCTGGGTAAAGCAGTCCACGGTAATTATGGAGAATAGGAACTTTTCTGAATTTTGA